TTAACATCTAACCTAAGTACAGAAGTAACACCGAGGTATTTCAGCTATCACTATATTGGAACTACTTGCCAGTGTTGGCTTTACCATAGTATCCACTCCAAGGTCATTCCACAATATTAGAATGAGCTTGATGTTAATATTTAATATGAAAAGATGAATTCTGACAAATATATTTTATTAATCCATGGGCACAAAATAATTATAGTTCATAAAGCAGATGTAAGAGCGAGATTGCTATTTTTTAGATGGATGTTGTCAATGCTGACTCACCAAGACAGTGAATGAAGGAAAGTATCAAAAGAGGTTACGGAGAAAAAGCTCAACCACATTCACTTGGCAGAATGTTGGTAGCGGGTTACATTTATTTATGTTCCCATATTGTACTACTATAGCATGAAATTTTCCAACCCTGAGAGCCATCTTCTTTGGGGGACTTCCCTCTATCTGGCAATAAATGGCATTGTTACGGCCAGTGATTGCCCACTCTTCCCTACAGAATTATTTCTGTGATCTCCAGTTTCTGTCACTGGACACTGCTTCTGTCTCTACTTGCAGATATAACATTGGTACAGCATTTCTAACACTGTTTGATGTTTGTGCATGTGTGTATACACTAAGCTGTATTTTGACTTCCTTCTGTGGGCTACTGAGATATTAAATTCCACATTTGACTGCACCCAGAGAAGGTCAAGCTGCCAGTGAATCAATGAATGGCATCAATTCTAGTTCATTATTCTACTGGAAATGTATCATGTCAGTGAATGCAGTGTGATTTGTGCATGCAGATGACACTGAGCATAATGAATTTGCTGTCAAGTGAAGTGGTACATTTTTGACATAGTAGTAATTTATTCCTGAAGGCTGTGCTTGGGGGTAGGTTTCTTTGTCACTTGACTTTCTGTTTTTGTAATTTAGCATTTTTGCACTTTGGGTTCTTCAGCCAATCTGTCTCCTTCCTTAAGATTATACACAACAATGTTGTGGAATGCCAGCCTGTCTACTCAACAATGAAGAGACTCCACAAAAAACATATATCTAGAGAAAAATATATATCAAAACTTGTTTTGTATTCCATCAGATAATATCTAAGGGGTATTTCCTGTTTAAGCTTGCACCAACCTGTTATCATAATTATTTTTTTACACCTTGACTTCCATTCATTTGTACCTGTGACTATTTAGGTTCTGAATCAGGAAAGCACTTAAGAACTTAATTAACTTTAAGCACGTTCTTGGGTCTCATTGCCCAGGCTCATATTCCTTAAATGTAGAGTTCATAATCTTTGGGTGTTACAGTTTGCAAAGTTACCATCAAGTATTGAATTTTACATATTGCCGTCTGTTTGTAGTGTAAAATCAGAAGAAAACCCCCAGAATGCTGTATATACTTTTCAAGTCAATTCAATTGGGGCTAACTACTGTAAAATAATGTCACTGAGTTCCTTATTACATATCTTACATCTTTTTTCTTTTCTTTTTTCTCATTTTCTTTTGATCTTATTTTATAGTTTTTGTTCCTTTTTTTGTTTTTCTCACTAGCATTCATTGTGTGGCCTTGATGATGCTCCTGAGCCAAGAAATGTGGTTGGTATTCTTTATATTTTATGTACTTAATATCAGACTGTTAGATCTTGCTGCCTTTTGAGACTCTTCTTTGCAAGGTGCTGAAGACCATAGTGAAGAGTGCCATGTCAATGCCTACATGAAGAGAAACGACGACAACCAACACATTCAAACCAGGATGTCTAAAATGTGGCTCCTAAATTCTGACTTGGGTACCTAAAAAAGACCAGCCTTCAAAGATGCTAAGCATCTGCTGCTCCTATTGACTCCAAGGGGGTTGCTGGAGCTTAGCACGTCTAAAAACTAGGGCACTGTCATTTAAGTGCCTAAATATGATGTAGGTGCCTAACTCTAAACCCCTGGGGATTAAAACTGTTGGCCAACAAATTTTAAAAAAGGTCATTTGTTCACTCTTTATCTCCCTTTTCCTCAAACTTTTTGCAGCCTGAAAATAACGTTCTGGATGCCCTAAATATTTACATTTTTGCTTAGAGAAGAATCACCTATGAGCATCTCAGCAAAGCAATATGAAATTTCACCATGTGCAGGGCCGGCTCCATGTATCTGCTGAGCAAGCTGGTGCTTGGGGCGGCAGATTCTTGGAGGCGGCATTCTGCCCAATCCTAGGGCGGCACGGATGCTTTTTTTTTTTTGTTCTTGTTCCGCTCCGGCCGCCCTGTAGGGGGCGGCAGCGCAGAGAACCAGAGCGCCCTGCAGGGCAGTCCTCTTCCATCCCTCCCTGCTGACCGGAGCGGAGCCCTGGCGGCAGGAGGCGGTGCAGCGGGAGGGGCCGCGTGGCAGTGCCCCTGCTGTAGCCGTGGCTGTCCCCTTCTCTCTCTCTCTCCTGCCCGCTCCCTCCCCCTCCCAGCCAGTTCCCCTGCACCCGCGCTCCGGCTGCGCCGCTGGTTTTTTTTTTTTTTTTTTTTTTTTTTTTTTT